CTAGGAAGGAGGCTCAGAAAATAAGCCACAAACCATCTGCCTGTCCCGTTCAGCTTCTCTCGCCAGCTCCCTTGGGCTGTGTGGCACTTCACTCACCTGTTCAGAATTCCCACACATCCCACAGGGCAGCCCTTGCTTAAACCGAGAGTTTGACACTTGTTTCTTTGTCAGCAAAGCCCCTACGGGAATTGCAGTCCGTGCAATAGGTTTGTCTTGTCTTTTTTTCCCCCCTCAATGCCTCTGACAAGGGGAAGCTGTAGCCTGAATGCAAGTCAGCTATCAGTTCTGACGGCTAAAGTAAATCCTAGTCAGGGCTGCGTGGCATGACTTGTACAAACTGCAGGATGAAAGACTTGCCCCACAGAGTGGTCTGCTGAGAAGTTTGAGGGCACTGATTTGGTGTGAAAAGCCATGCAGCAAAGTGGCTAAGGATCGCCAGCCTTTGGGACCTTCTTCTTGCTAATCTTACAAATTCAAACACCATTGCAAGGTCTGTAATATACCCAGGCCAACATTTTATTCATTTCATAAAATTTACACACCTCTTTATTTGATTTTATATTTTTGAAAAGGCAAAGTGATTTACAAACAAGATAAAACAATTAAATTATCATTTTTAAAAACAAAACAAAAAACCAACAACCCTGCTTTTAACAACAATTTAAAATATTTCTGAAAAACTGATGCAAAAGCTTTGTGTGGCTGGAGGGAGGGAGGGAGAGAGGGGGAGAGAGAGAGAGAGAGAGAGAGAGAGAGAGAGAGAGACTTTTATGGTGAACTGATGGTCATTCATCCAGCACAGGAATGAGGACTCTACAGGACAAACTGTACCTGCCTCATTCCATAATATATGGCTGTGTTAACATTCTCCTTCATATTGATATTGGCAACTTTCAGTCTATCTCCACTTCAGTGCTTTCACAAACTTTGCTATCATTGCTTACATCTGAACAATGCCTTTGGGTTGGCAAAAAGTGTGGGGAAGGGAGATGTTCGGTTTGTAACTTCTTCAGTAAAAAGAGGGGGGGGAGAAACTACAATGAAATACTAGGGGGGGAACAACCTCATGTTTAATATTTTATTACTTTTTCCATATTAGAAGCAAAAGCAAAAGCGGGAGCGGGGGGGGGCAGGCCCTCTTCCCTGCCACCTCCAAAAAACAAGGGGGGCGGGGGGGCGGGTTGGGGAGAAGCCTCAAAATGTTGATGTTTCTGAGAGAAAGGATCATAAGAAAATTCTCCTCTTTGCCTGGCCTTTAAGGAGGATTTTAAAACCAAACCACACCGGGGTCCCTACGGTTTTCATTGTCTCAGAGATTGCCTTGAGTGTTGCTTTTTTCTTAAATTCCCTGTAAGAGTAATATATCCAAACCAAAATACGTCCCGAAAAGAAAGGAGAAAGAGTGCCCTGAAGTCTCAGCCACACTAATTAAAATGTGGCGTTCAAGCTTTGTTGTTAAGTGCCTGGTGCAACGTGAGTTATAAATGCAGTCTAGAAACAATTAAAGTTTGCCTTGCTGATTAAGTTTCATATTCACTGCTCAATCAACTGACGTTTTAATGGTTTCATCTGCGGATTAAAGCTTGCAAATATAGGGGAAGGGGCACAGCTCAGCATACTTTGCATGAAGAGGATCCCAGGTTCCATCCCTGGTACCTCCAAGTAGGAAAAAGATTCCTGGGATCTGGAGAGTCGCTGTCATTCAGTGTAGACAATGATGAGCTCGATCAGTCAATGGTCTAATTTAGCATAAGGCACATTCCTGTTCATAGCCTCCAATGGCAGATCCAATGAGTTTGTTTATTTACATTTCCAACCCACTTTTCTTCCATTATTCAATGCAAGGCAGCATACCTGTGATTCCCTGACGGTTTCCCATTCTGGTGCTGACCAGACCTGCTCAGCTTCAGGAGAGCAGTGGCCTCATGTGCTAATGCAGGGGTCAGCAAACTTTTTCAGCAGGGGGCCGGTCCACTGTCCCTTGTGGGGGGCCAGACTATATTCTTTTTTTGGGGAGGGGGGTGAACGAATTCCTATGCCCCATAGGAATTCCCAGAGATATAATAACCCAGAGATGCATTTTAAATAAAAGGGCACATTCTACTCATGTAAAAACACACTGATTCCAGGACCATCCGCAGGCCGGATTTAGAAGGCGATTGGGCCGGATCCGGCCCCTGGGCTTAGTTTGTCTACCTATGTGCTAATGCTTTTGGGAGACATCTTGCTAGCTACTATTGGAAACAAAATGCTAGACTACCTTTGGTTTGAAAATGGGTCTTCTTACATTCTTGGACATGTGTTGCCTAACCAGCAATGCTCTGCTCCTCTCTGCCATACCCCCAACAGAGATCTGGGGAGCCATGAATCCCCCCAAAACAACTATTCCATAAGCCAAGAGACAGCCTCAGCTTGCTGGGACTACCATTTAAGAACAAAGGAAGATGCCATTCCCTGAGTGGTCCTATTGGTCCACCTAGCTGAAGGTTCTTCACAGCCAGAAGATAGAAGTCTCTCCCATCCTACCTGGAGATGCTGGGGATTGACCTAGGACCCTCTGCATGCAAAGCAGATGTTGTGCCACTGAGCTATGACCAGTGCCAGATTTAGGGTGGTGTGAGCGGTTCTGCTACGCAGGGTGCCGAGGTGCAGGGGTGCAAAACTGAGAAGATCCATAATTGAGAAGATCCATTGAGGGACGCCAAATGTTGACATCACACGGGGAACCACATCACGAAAGATTACCAAAATCTGTCCCTGCTATGACCTTTCTGCAAGGAGAAGGGAATGCAATGAGTGATGGCAGAAACAAATCTTTTGTATTTCTTGACTGCCCCCGTGACAGCACATCATCACTAAGCCTGAGAAAACACAACCCAGGGAGCACATCAGGCTGCTTCAGGCTAGCATAGCGAGGAACCAGGGAGCATCATCCCCAAAGATGATCCAGGACACAGGGTTTGACCTTGGAGTACAGAGGAGGCAGCAAAATGCTTTGCCCATCCAAGTCTGAGGCTTTGCTGGAGGGGACAGCTGGGAAAACACGTAGGACTGCTGCAACCAGCCCCCATTTGCCAAGTGAAGCCATCACTGCGGCATTGGGGCAAAGCCTAGGCAGAGATAAGTTCCAAGGCGATTCCTCTCCTGGTGGATGACAGACAGTATTTACAAGCATCGGAACTAAATGTTCTGACCCTGCTGCATCATAAAAGGCTCTCGCCTGTAACCATTCTTCTACCCTGTAATACATTTCTCAATCAGCTATTTCACTGTCATTAAACAGAAGCTTTTAATGTCCTTGGTATGATAGGTGAAGAGTGCTTGCGGCTTTGATTCTCCATTTCAAAGTAAGCTCATAAATGCTTTTATGGTTCTGGAGTGGTTAGGGATATTGATCAAACTGTAGAGCTGGTCCCCCGTCACAGAGGCACAGGTGGTAAATGGAACATGAGAGGAATTTGTGCAAAGGAGGGAAACAAGGAAGGCAGAAAGGAAAGGGAGATGGTAGGGGCAGATACTGGAGATTAAAGCCGAGAAGATCCATAAGGAAGCACTTCATATGCTGCCTGACACTCAATTAATAGATAAAATGACAGAGTAATACGATAATGTAAAGAAAACCTATAAGCCCAGCTAATAAATCACTGCCCATTGACAAATAGCATGATACTGGTACCCAGGACAACCTATTAAAATGTAATGTTTCCTCTGAAGCATGGGAATAAGAGGCAATGGAGTCAGGTTTTGGCAAGGATCAAATGCAACATAATAAACATATCACTCAGCCGCGGCCGAACGGGAGGGAATAGCGTGTGCTCTCTTGACATTGTGAAATGACATTTCAAAGGCTGGAAGGAAGGAGAACTTTCTTTGCTCAGAAACTGGGCCACAGCTCATCAAGAGCTTCTCCTGTACAAGATGCATTGAAATGAACACATTGCTACCTGTGCAGTATCAGTTATGATTTCCCATCTTATTAGCGGACCTTGGGTTCAGTCTTGCAACAGGAGGAAACCATATAGAAAGTCCCAGTGTCAACTAAAGCAGGGTGAAGAGCCTGTGGTCCTCCAAGTGTTGCTGACTCCAACTACCATCATCTCTGACCATGCTGGCGGGGATGAGGATGAAGGAAGACAGGTTCCCCCAACCTTGTGTTAAAGTGTCCAAGACAGCAGGACGAAAACAAACATGGGAATCTTGGGAATCTGCTGTTTGTTGGAACAGGCAGTCATGAGTTATTCAGGCCAATGAAGAATCTGAAGTATCTGAAGAAGTGTGCATGCACACGAAAGCTCATACCAATAACAAACTTAGCTGGACTCTAAGGTGCTACTGGAAGGATTTTTTTTATTTTGTTTCGACTAACCAACACAGCTACCTACCTGTAATCAGGCCAATGGGTGTGTCCTTGTTGTTCCATTCCCAACCCAAACATCTATCTTTATTTGCCCAGTATTTCAGTGAGAATGAGCTCAGAGGCAACCTGTTTTTTTAATTCTAACTGCATGGACTGTATCCAATGCTGCCATTCCATTTGCACCAGAGATGTATGCATGCAGGGGAAAATTTACTGCTTTTCCCCTCTTGCCTGCAGCTCCCCATACACCCTCAAAATCTGCTCCAGAGAGGAAAGAATGAAGTATCACTGCATGAGCAGAAAGCTCAGGTAAAGTCCTGTGTCTTTTGCACCTGGTTCTGGTTTGTAGAGACACTGGGGATTTACTAAACAAACCAAATAGATCTTAGACACCTGAAGTATGCTCATCCCTGCCTTACAAGGCATTGTGTGGATTAGTGGAAATCACTTCTGAATATCCTAGGTAGACAAATGCCAAATATTATGCTCACCCAACTTTCCCCACTCAGACCGAGGGCTAGCAGTGGGGAAGAATCTAGATCACTTCTCATCCAATTAACCTGAGCAAAATTCATATTTATCAAGCTGAGTTTGCAATAGGACAATTAACAACAACACGCAAACAAATAAAATAGATTCTCACCTTGATCTTCTGAAGAAACCGGAGACCTGGAAGTAAACCAACAAAGACCCATCAGTCTTTTTTTGGTAAGATGAAAAGGCAACAAATAAATTTCAGTGCACTTTCAGGGATTTCTGCAGCAGCACTTAGTAAAGCAGAGTTTGGCTGATGTGAAATACTTCTACAGGTTATGTTATGTTCAGCTCCTAACAATTGCTAAAATTCAGATCCCACTTCATTCCATCTTTGCATCAGAATGAGCCTCACAAAACATCCACCTAGTTCTGTGTCACTGTGATTTTGGAAAAAGGAGTACTTTATTATGAAGGTTTGAAAATATAAAGAGAAGAATGAAGGGTGCCTCATAAACAGGTACAGCTGGAGGGATAAACTGCTGCCGTCTCTCTTCCCCTGGGTCTTCCCGCTGCCCCCCAATAATGAGCCTGGTTACTGCTCTCTAAGACCTGCCCTGAAATCTCTGCCTCCCCAAGGAACAAGCTATTGCCACCCATTATCTCAACCTCATGTGTGCAGTCAGTTTCTATCTTCAGCAGTCTGAAGTCAGAGAAAGAAAATAACAGGGGGGAAATTGCTTCGGTGGATCAGGTCAGAGGTGGATTGATAACCAAAGGTCCATCAAAAGCCAGCAGTGGCTCCACTGAGATTTCCTAGCCAAGCTGAATGCAGAGCGAACAAACTGCGGCCAGATTTTCCAACACTTTACTTTTCTCTTCAAAGTAACTGCTGGTGTGCATCACAGACATGATCAGGGAGAAGAACAGTAGCTCAGTGGAAGGGACAGAGCCAGGGCAGTGGTAAGGGAAGCGTTGCTTAGGTAGATTGCTGGGAGTACTGGCTTGACTCCAACAGTGTGCCCCTGTAACAAAGCTACACTGCCTGTCCCCAGCTAAGCAGCATTGATTAAGCTGTCAGAAGGGCAACTCTGCGGCACCTGCCCCATAATGCCAGTCATGCTCCAGGAACACATGCTTTTCCTCCTAAAGGTCTCAGGGTCAGTCCTTGGAAAATCCAGTCTAAAAGCACCAGGAAGCAGGTGATGGGAAAGACCTCTATCTGAGGTAAAAAGGTAAAGGATCCCTGGATGGTTAAGTCCAGTCCAAGGCAACTATGGGGTTGCGGCACTCATCTCGTTTTCAGGCCAAGGGAGCCGGCGTTTGTCCGCAGACAACTTTCTGGGTCATGTGGCCAGCATGACTAAACCGCTTCTGAAGCAATGAAACACCGTGACAGAAACCAGAGTGCATGGAAACACCGTTTACCTTCCCACCACAGCGGCACCTACTTGCACTGGTGTGCTTTCGAACTGCTAGGTTGGCAGGAGCTGGGACAGAGCAAAGGGAGCTCACCACCATCATGCAGGGTCGAACTGCCGACCCTCTGATCGGCAAGCCCAAGAGGCTCAGTGGTTTAGGCCACAGCGCCACCCGTGTCAGGTCTACCTGAGACCTGTGGTCATCAAGGTGTTGCTGGGCTACAGCTCCAATCATCCCAACAACATTGGGAGGGGTACAGATTCCTCACCCAGTTTTCTCAACTAAATTCCCCTCCCATGAAGCTACTATTAGCTACCATTTTAGATGGGGAGGAATAGGTACCAAGTCAGCTGGAGACTTGTTTTTGTTAAAGCCCCACCTCTACCGTTCCTTTAGCTGTGTTCCCTGGGAGAAGCAGGCGAAGGGGGAAGCATGATACACAAGTGCTTATGAGAACAACTTTTCCACCAGCCCCCTGCAGTTTAGTGCCCCTTGTAGCCATTCAACGGCAGAAGGGACAGCTAACCAACGACAATTGCAATTACCGGGATCCAGAATGGAACATCATACAATAATCCATTTTGCAGCCATAACTGAGCATTTACTTTAGCATCCTTTTTGTCTCGCTAGCATTTCTATCACAGCAAGACAGGTAGAGGTAATTAGCTCTGCATCTGAAAAGACCAAAGACAAGGAGGGGGGTGGGGAATCACCATGGCAAGTGCTGCTAAGAAAATTATAAAGTTTATACTCCTGCTATTATGGTGTGCACCTGTTGGGACCAGGCCAAGGATAAGGCATAATATAGATGCAAAACTACAGGGTAGGGAGGGGGGGAGAGAAGGTATTGGCAGCTGGATCTCCAGGTGGGGGGTCACTAAAATGTGAGGCTTGATTGGAAAATGGAAAAACTCACACCTAAAATGGGGCAAGCGGTAAGATGGGGAATATGCAAGTGAAATGATTTTGAGGAGATATGGAAATTGTTGTAGAATTTGTACTGTTAAAACAGAAAAGGGTCAAATGATCGCAAGAGGTGTTGAAATTTTGCCAGGTTGGATAGTTACAATGAAATTCTCTTGGGGTGTGGTGCATATTTTTATTCTTATTTCATTTATTATTATTGCTTTGTCAAAATATTATTTTTTTAAAAAAATGGAGCAAGCAGGAGTCAGTAGAGAATGGTAGAAGGCCTGGCTCCTTTTATTTGGTAACCCTGACCAATCCAAAGACATGACTACCAGCTTCTTTCTAGGCTTGATTTGCCATATTTTGAAGAGAGAGAAAAGAGGACACATTTGTCAACATCTATTTTTAACTCTGGATCACTACGACGACTCTACCCATGAAAAACAGGACATGTCCTGGAAAAAGAGGACATATGGCAACCCTATCTGGGCCCAATGCAAGGTGCTGTCAAATGCCAAAGTCAAGCATAGGTCAGCAATAGAAAGCATGTTGTCTGTGCAGAATGGACCTGGGGCTTTGTGCCTTCTTCCTAAAGGCCCACTGACTGAAGGCCAACAGTGGCCAAGGGAGCTTAGCATTAAAGGAAAACTCTGTGCCAGTCAGACTGTTCCTGGTGTTTTCAGTCTGCTGGAGGCTTGTCGCTGGAGGAAGGCGGCAGTGTAGGCATGCCTTTGTATGGGAAGGAAGGGATTTGCAACCTTGTGAGCTCAGTCTATGGGATTTGAGGTTTCATGGAAATTCAACCAGCCTCCTCCAGGCACAGTCTACAGAAATTCCGGCAACCGGGTGTATTATTCATAAAGACAAAAGCCTCCAGAGAAACGTCAAGCCGATGTAAAGCAGCTATTTTTACCAATAACCCTGCAACTGAAACCCTCTGCCACCCACAGCATCTGAAAGAAAAGCCTTTAAGAATCTAAAAGGCTGAACAACAATACTTTTATAGCACTGCCATGGAGTTTTATGGCCTTTCTCTTCTTTGCCACTCGAGTAATTCATTTTACACATACCCACTAACTCCTTCTGATAAGCACTTCTGCCAGTTAGCTGGCCAAGAAAAAAAGAGGGGGCTGAATGTTGTTTCTCTTTTAAAAACAAAACACCTCACTCTCTCTGGTTCCAATGAACTCACTAGTTGTTCCTCTGCAATGGATAGAACATGAAAGCTATTTTTTAAAGGTTATATACATCCAGTCCATTAAAGAGAGACAAAAGTAGTTTGAGAGAGGTTTCATATCTGATGGTATGCAGTTCACACCCATTTTGTTTTCCCATGCACACGTTCACTTAAAGAGGTATTTTAGGGTTTTGAAACAATAAAATCTCCTCCCCCCCCCAAAAAAAGCAGCAGTCCTTTTTTCAAACCACCTTCAGATATTCAAAAACAAATAGCAGCAGAGCATCTGTCTCCAGCATAGGATAGGCTAATCTGTCAACTCTGGTTTCCCTAGTTCTTTTCCAATCTAAGTCCAGTTCTTCAGGATGCATTTATTTTTTATTTTTAAAAGGGCCTCATCTGCCTCTGACAGTCCTGAGTCTTCCTAAACGGCCTCAGCCAAGTATACCCGAAGGAGTGTCTCCACCCCTATAGTTCAGCCCAGACACTGAGGTCCAGCTCTGAGGGCCTTCTGTTGGTTCCCTCCCTGTGAGAAGTGAGGTTACAGGGAACCAGACAGAGGGCCTTCTCAGTAGTGGCGCCCACCCTGTGGAATGCCTTCCCATCAGATGTCAAGGAAATCAACAACTATCTGACTTTTAGAAGACATCTGAAGGCAGCCCTGTTTAGGGAAGTTTTTGATGTTTGATGTTTTGTCATGTTTTTATTATGGAGCCGCTCAGAGTTGCTGGGGAAACCCAGCCAGAAGGGTGGGGTATAAATATTATTATTATTCCTCTTCTCAGAGCCCTGACCCTTGCCTTGTGGGTGGCACAGAACCACACAAATTGCTAACCCCTTCCTCTAGATATTTCTCAGGCTCCCTTGCCTCCTCTACACATCCCTCAGAGTCTTGCTGGTCCCTGATGCCTGTGTAGTTCCCTCTCCCAATTCCATGTTATTCTCACAGCAACTCTGTGAGGTACGCTAGGCTGAGAGACTGTGATTGGCCCAAGGTCACCCAGTAGACTTATAAACTATGTGCACTGTATGTATAGTACCTATAAAAGAGCCATATCCCACACTGTGCTATATTTCTGCAGTATACTTCTATAACTATGGGATGCATCCAACTAAATTCCACTCAGTGCAGATACATTGAAAAATGAATGGATGTGGCTAACTTAGGCCTGCTCATTCCAATGGGTTTACTCTGAGTAGAACTTGGTTGGCTCCATTTGCATTTCCACACAGTTTTATATACATATTGCTGCAAGTTCCTGTCAATGTGATGATTACTTTAGGAAAGCAATAATATTGTATGTGTGTATTGGATATATAATCGTGCGTAAAATATTGCACAAGAATAATTCATGTTTTAGCAGAACCAAGGGATGGGGGTGGGGAGTCTTGCTTCTCGTCAAATTTAAGGAGTGAGATGGGAATTAGAAAGAGATCTCTGTGGATCTATGAGTTTGAGAATCTCATTAAATTCCCATTCCTAGTCTCCATCTGCACATTCAACCATTCTTGTTAATAGTCTGGTGCATTTTTTAAAATCTCAGCATTGTACTAGTCCTGTTCAGCCTCCGGCCCGTGCTTTTTCCTGGCAGGCAGGCAGGGTTAGACTCATTGGCCCTGTCTCATTTGTCACATTCCTGGTGGCCTAACTCTGCTACCTTCCAGTGGACTGAGGGTGAACTTCTTT